ATTCAATAGATAAATCAAATTCAACTAATTAAGAAAATATATGACTGAAAGAGTAATTTAATTAAGCATATTCACTATGCACTTTTCATTAATTTAACTATACATTATTAATTATAGTTTTTATATTAAATTCATTTAATTTTTTATTACCGATTATTTTTTGTTTCATTGATAAAATTACTTTTGTTTGTGTTAAAATAATGCTTAACCATTAGAAACTATGTTTTGTAAATACAAATTAATTTTTAATTGTTAACTTTAGGATACTGCCTAGACTATATCTACAGACAAAAAAAATGATAAAATTCTAGGAGTAGCATAAATAATATAAGGTTTAATTTTGTTTTTGTTACTTAAAAGAGTTTAATTTTTTTATCATTCAAAATAGTAAATAAGAAATGACATCCCTTAATTATTAGGCAAGAAACAAATGACATGATAAGAATCCTCAAACTAAGTATTACATTCCGCTTTTTATCGGTATACGAAGTCATAATAAGTGTACACCATAGGGTACACCATAATAAGTATTCAAATTCATCACCATTTATGTTAACCAACATGACAAAAAAGAGTTTAATATACAAAAAAAAAATGAATCATATATAATGACATTACAAAAAATTATATATTATAAGACTATTTTAACGAATATTATAAAAATCATCATATATAGTTATTTCGTTGACTTTTATAATATTTGTTAAAATAGTTATAGTATATAAATTTTTTTCTTTTTCCTTAAATTTTCATATATATTTTTTTGTAAACGGCCTCTCAACTTTATCACTAACCATAATTATTTTTTTTATATTGATCACACGTATCACACTATCTTTGAGAAGAAACAAAAACAATTCTTCAAATATTTAAACAACAATTAAAAGATAATAAATACTATTTGAACAACAATTAAGAGATAATAAACACTTTGAAATATCAACAAGTTATTAATTTATATATAATTGTGCTTGAATTTCTTAAACAAAGTCTTCATTAGAAATTTGCGAATAAAATAAAACATGATTAAGAAAACAGATTTTTCTTTTATTCAAAGGAACTATAAAGATAATTATAAAGTTGAAACATAGAACTTTACATATATTAGATCAACTTCCACTATTAAGTAAATTCTAATGATTCAAAAAAAAATTATAAGTAAATAGCCACATTTTTTTAATAAATGCTAATTATTACTAAAATTACTCAATAATTTACATTAATAACATAATTAAAAAAATACTTTATAAAGTTGTAATAAAATTATGTTGATTTTTCAAAAGCCATATTTTAAATTTTAAAATACTTACAAAGTGGGGGTAACGACAAAGCCTTCCTAGCTATGGTATTAAACATGAATGGTACATAAAAACCAAGTTGGCATGGTATGGCAACAAATACAATGGTGTCTTGATTTTAGTGCATTTGGTGATCAAGTAACGGACACTTAATAAAAAATATGTGTACATGTTGGCTTAAATGGGGACAATCACTTTATGTCATCCAATCACATACATTGGATCCTCACATTTCACCCATTTTCTTCCTTTTTCACCTAGTCAATAAAATATGACTCATTATCCTTATTTGGAATAGTTACATCTCACCTTAATGGACATGCTCCTATTTCAAATTCTTGTGTATTCATTTGTCATTCTAACTTATGCTTGTTAGAAAATAATTAATCACTATTTTTTATTTGCATGTTTGAAAATTTTAGTTTGAAGGAAAATCAAACGTAATGAATTATCAACTCTAAGACTATCGTTTGAATTGATTTAAATTCGTGGGAACTTTTTTATATATAAATGGCACTATACTCTTTGTAATTTGATTAAAATGTGTAAATTTGACCTTTCGCCTTCTTGTTACGTTATGTTATTAAAATCGTAGTGTTTTTTTAGACTTAAATACGCTTTTACTTAGAAAATAAATAAAATTTGATTTTGGTTATTGTAAATTTTTATTTTATTTTTTATCTTATAAATTTGTAAATATAATTTTTGATCCCTATAAGATGGGCATAAATTGATTTTGGTTTTGTAAAATATTTTTCTTTGATTTCTATCTCTCTAAAATCTAAAGTTACTATTTTTATTTATTTTAAAATATATAAATAGCAATTATTTTAAAAATCTATTAAAAAAAATTTAAAGATGTCATATATTAATAAAGTATCATAGGCATTTATGAGTGCATCAAATATGACCATTTGACCTTCTAATAATAAGTATTTAAAAATAATAGAGACTAAAAATATAGTTATGAATTTTATATGAATGAAAAAGAAAGAAATTTTTTTTACAAGAACTAAAATCAAAACTTAGCAATTTTGTAAGGATTAAAAATATATTCAAAACTTTCTTTTATCTTTTAACTGAAATATACATATGATATTGTTAAAGAAGATTATATTATCAATATGTAATATGTTTGAGTGAAATTAGACTTAATTTTTAATCAATATTTTAAATTTAAATCTTGCATATAAAAAGAATGTGATTATGAATTGAGATTAAAAGATAATAACTAATTTTATTCACAGGGAAAAATATTGCCTTTTGTTCAACAATTTATTCACATTTTCACTTCTCTCTTTTTCAAACAAAAAGGGGCAACCACTTTTGCAAATTAACAAATAAAATAGCACCCACCAAATGCTTCTTTTAATTAATTATTAATGAAATGTTTGATTTAGGAATGAAAAGAGAAAAGAAAGAAGGGAAAAAAAGTAATAAAAAAAAAAGATATTCTTGATGACTAGTATTATTACTTTTGCCAACAATTGGCTACTTTTATTTCAACAAATGCTAGAGGCTATTTATATGATCATTGTTTGATTTATTTACTTTTACAAATACAAGAATAAGAGATTGGCAAACAAGCTTCATGAAACTTCCCCAATAGCACGAGATAGTTATTATTATTCTGTGTCAATCAAAAACAACTATTCTTTTTTTTTTTTTTTCCAAAATAAGTTAAACTAAATGATCTAGTATAACACTACCTTAACAATAATTCATATGACTTCAAGATCGTTAGAGATTCAAGTGATGTACTTTGTACTTTGAACATACTTTATGTTATTATGTGACTCCTCATTTAACTAAAGGTTGGTGTACCCTTAAGAGTTAGATTTGTGAAAGTTAAAGATGTTTAAATTTGATTAAACTATTTTGAACGGTGCGTGTGACATAAAGTAAAAGTGGTGCTTGGTACTGTTGTATAGGTGCATTACTTGATTCTCACTTCATGTTGTAGGTAGTGGTTGTTCATTGTAGAATCTAAAAGCTAAGATTCGCCAAATCCAAATTGTTGCTATTAAGTGGGGTTCAGAAAACACAATGACTTTAAAAAGAAGAAGGGGTGGTGCACGATACAAATACAAGGAAGAAGTAGTTATATAACTAATTACAGTCAAAATTGATTATGTAATTCGTTATAGCCTGAGAGCAATTTTTAAAATTTAAACAAAAAAGATTTTTCTAAAATTTAACTTGAGCTCTGGTCAAAGATGCTTCAGTCAAAATTGAGTTGAAGATGTTTCATTTGGAGTTAAGTTAAAAATGTTCTAATTAAGACCTAATTAAAGATAACCAACAAAAATGCTCTATGAGACCAAGTTGAAGATACTCCAAATGAAGTTAAGCCAAAGATGCATCAATGATGATCGAGTAAAAATTGTGAGTTGGGGTTAAAAGATACATTTGTCCAAGTTGTACATGATTAAAGTAGTTAAATTTTATAACCAATTTAGTTAATTCATTATGAAATAGATATCTAACCATATTCAACTATTTTTAAAAAATAACTAACCAAATTTTAAATTAAAACATAAAATAGTTAAAAATTATAACCAAATTTAATTAACCATTTAAAAAAAAAAACTGATTAAATAAAGTTATGGTTAAATGTTCTATATTTTTGGTCATCCTTTAATAGCTTTTAAACATTTTTTATATAAATTATGGAGGATTCAACTAAGTCTAGGGGCCATTTGGATTGTATTTTATATTTTTATTTTTTATTAACATTTTAGATTATATAATGCACAAAATAAATATTTATTTTATATAAGTAAAATTCATAATAAATACTTTATAATGTTTAAATTACATTGTAATCAAAATTTATAATAAAGTTATTTTTGCACATAAAAATTACATTTTTAATTTATGGTAATTAATTTATATTGATACAAGATTATTTTCAAGTAATATAATTTCTTTTATAAAAAAACATTGAAATTCAAATGAACAAAATAAATTAAAAGAATTAAGAAGTTAAGAAAAATTTCTAAATATATCATCTCTAAAATAAACTCTTAAAAATGCTTAAGTAAATTGCTCCTAATAATATCGCTCTCATTAAATAAATAAAACTTACAATTTCTTAAGTGTGATTAATGTTATTCTTCCATTAAAGTTGAAATTTTATATCGATAATATATACAAATGTATATTAATGAGACTTATATTAAATACAAATGAATAATACCAAAATAAAACTACAACTTTGATTGAAGACCTACACCAACCGCACATGCACACCTAATGAAATATACCTATGTTTTGTCATTTTAATCTATAATAATATATAAAAACAACACAATATTTCGTATACACATTTTTTATGACATTTTTATTCACATAACTACTCTCAAATTACTCACTTCTTATAAACCACCAACTATTTTGTAACATTTTATTATTTTTATTTCTTATTTTCTTTCAAAGTTGATGAAGAAAGTAAGATTGATTCAAGCAATTGTTTTTGTATTTTAAAAAATCCCTCGGAGGCACGGAGTGTTTATTTTACACTACTTTATATAAATATA